AGTAGTAGTCGTAGTCGTAGTAGTAATAGTAGTAGTAGTAGTAGTAGTAGTAGTAGTAGTAGTAGTAGTAGTAGTAGTAATCGTCGTCGTAGTAGTAGTAGCAGTCGTCGTAGTAGTAGTAGTAGTAGTAGTAGTAGTAGTAGTAATCGCAGTGGTAGTAGTAGCAATAGTAGTAGTCGTAGTAGTGGTAGTAGTAGTCTGGTAATACTAGTAGTTGTTATAGTAGTCGTAGTCGTAGTAGTAGTAATAGTAGTAGTAGTAGTCGTAGTAGTAGTAGTAGTCGTAGTAGTAGTAGTAGTAATAGTGGTAGTAGTCGTAGCCGTAGTCGTAGTCGTGGTCGTAGCACTAGTGGTCGTAGTAGTAGTAGTAGTAGTAGTAGTAGTAGTAGTAGTAGTAGTATTAGTAGTAGTATTAGTAGTAGTAGTAGTAGTAGTAGTAGTAGTAGTAGTAGTAGTAGTAGTAGTAGTAGGGTAGTAGTAGTAGAGTAGTAGTAGTAGTAGTCGTAGTAGTAGTAGTAGTAGTAGTAGTAGTAGTAGTTAGTAGTAGTAGTTATTAGTAGTAGTAGTAGTAGTAGTAGTCGTAGTAGTAGTAGTAGTAGTAGTAGTAGTAGTAGTAGTACTACTACTAGTAGTAGTAGTAGTAGTAGTAGTAGTAGTAGTCGTAGCAGCGCACTTGCATACCATAGTTTCTCCTATCTGTATGTCAGCCCTTGTAGCATGGCAGTTTTTCAAAGCACTCTCAGACGCCGCCAGCGCGAATCGTGACGTTATCGGGGGGGGGTGCCGCCGTAAACGGGCGTTATCGCGAATATTTAAAAAATGGGTTCTTGACCTCGGCCACCCAGAGGTGTCAGGATCGCCGTCATGAAAAATCGTTGTCGTCGTCGTCGTCGCCATCCCCTCACACGCTTCGTGGCCCCACAGAGCTCCACCGAAGGCCCAAGTGGCAGCGCCCGCGTGCGCTGCACGTCCCATTCTGGCCCGCCCCTCACGAGGGTCGTGGCCCCATAGGAAGCTGATGGGAGCGGCAGCACCCGCATGCGGGACGCGCCCCATGTCGTCGCACTCCTCGCGAACATCGTGGCCCCACAGGGGGCTCCACCGAAGGCCCCAGTGGCAGTGCTTCCACGCGGTGCGCGCCCCAGTCTGGCTCACCCTTCACGAGGGTCGTGGCACCGTCGGGAACTCCACCGAAAGCCCCACTAGCAGCGCCCGCGAGCGGTGCGCGCCCCATCTCGGCACGCCTCTCATGAGGATCGTGGCCCATTAAATCATTCAAGACTGCAGATGGTTGGGTGCTTCACCCGGCTACTTTGACGCCGCGACCCTTTTCCCCGGGCCAGCTTTTCGCCCAGGATTCATGTTCGGTGGCCCCAGGGCCCGATGACAGGCCTTGGAGGCCCAACTCGGGAACCGAAGCGCCCATTGCAAAAACCGATTGTCGGAGATTTGGGTTCGCTCCCCCTGCCCTCCCCCTCGTCCGAGGGTGGACCCCGCGGACCCCTCGTGGATCAGCCCCGCGGACTTCGTGGAGTTCATCGAGACGCACGAGAGCCTCACCGAGGAAGGGCCCCTTGCCTTCCCCCGCCCCGTGCTGCAGCCCCCGTGCTGCTGCCCCCTCCCACGACCCCTGCACGTCGTGGGCACAGCATGCCAAAAGCTTTCCGTTCTCTTGGCGTCCAGGGGCCTTTATGCGTAGCTTGAGTCGCGCCTGTCCATTTACAGGCGGAACATTTTTCTTGCATGGCTATATGTATATATATACATATGTCTGTATGTATATATATATAGATAGAATGTACATGTCCAGGTATATGTGAATGTGTATGTGTATGTGCATGTATCTGTGTTTGTGTTTATGTGTATATCTGAATATATGCATTACATTCGTCTGATGATGATTTTTTTTTTCCTGGTTAATGCATACAACTATATATATCTATATCTATATATATATATATATATAGATATATATTCTAATTACTTTGTATCTTCCTTCCCAAATCCGCGTGCAGGAGGACATGCCCGACCCAAGCCTAGCTTCGGGACCGTCAGGAACGGTCCAAGCCTAGCCAAACCCAAGAAGGGGTCCAGACCTTCGGGGGCCCACGTTGAGAGACAATCATGACATTGGGGGTCCAGGTCCTCCGTCCGGTGTTCGATTCGAAGAATAATCAATTATTTTTTCTTGTGTTCCGCGCGGCTTTCCTGGATCTGCGCTGGAACCCCGTAGCGGCGCTTCCGGCGCCGCCCTTGGCGCGCTTCGCGCGCCAGGAGGGAGGGGGCTTCTGTGCGGATCCTGGACATACGCGCGGCGTTTCGAAAGTCTATGTTCGCGTATGCAGCTTTCACTTCTACCCACCCTCGCCCCCTCTTCCAGATAGTGCTTTTACATCCTTGCCACCAATGCATGCAGATGAGCACCCGAGCAACTCTCAGAACCTTGGGTGGTGCGGTTTCACGCTTTTCATCTGAACGCGTCGCGTTGCAAACTAGGCCCCGTTGTTGCTCGCAGTCCTGGTCAGAGCCAGGTTGGTGTGAGGTGAGCGGTACCCCTGGCACGCTCTCTCGTCATCAGCTGCTCGACACTCCCGATTGTTGCTCCTCTCTTCTAGCTTCTCCCCCCGACCCTCCGGGATGAGGACGAAAGGAGGAGCGACGAGGAGCGAGCATCGCCATCTGGAAGCGTCTGGCGCCCGGGCGCCTTGTCCTGCTCGCGCCGCAAAACGATCCGCTACTCGTTCGGCTTCTCTGCCACAGCGCAGCCCGTGGGGGAACAGTCGAAAAACATCATGAGGAGCAGTAGTCAACTCTCCAAAGCTGCCCCTGCAGCCATGACTGTTGACTCGTCCTGGCGCCTGGCCCCAGGCCATGGGCTTCCAGCTTCGGCCTTCACGTCTCGACGCTTCGCGTATCCCCACCAGTTTACCACGTCTGGACACTCCGACGGCATGTTGGACGCGCAGCCCACTGCTATCGTCCTCATGCTCCTTCGGGTTTTGCCACTCGGCACCTCTTGAATTCACCAGCATTTTGCCGTGTTGCAAGTGCTCGAGCACCCTGGACGCCCCCAGCTTGCCGCTCCTCCCGCACAGTCAGCCGTTGCTGTATGAGTGGGCTGGCCGGCTTGCGGCGCGTTTAGTTGCTAATTAGGCCGCTGTCGTGACCCGTAGCGCTCCTGACTCCGCTTGCGCCTTCGCTTGCGGACGCGACCAAAAAAATATCCCCACCTGCCCGTCCAGAAAGGACGCTCAGGCGAGCTGAATTGATGAGTGAAGTGTCGGACGCAAGCAGTGGAGTATAGAAGGGAGCAGCCGTCAAGCTGATGTTCGGGATCAGCCTGAGTAGACCCAGGAGTCAACCATAAACGCCCATCTCGGATCTTTCGATATGGGAGCCTTGTTGCAGCTTCCTTGAGCCACCTTGGGGTCCTCTTGGGGTCGTTGGGGGGTCGCTTGTGGAGGCCTCCGTGTTTGGAGGCCTTAGGCGATCTCATGGGGGTCGCTTGGATGCCATCGATGAAAAAAAGAGATTTGGGTTTTTCTTAGGGTTGTCTTCATTAGGTCCGACAGCTCGCATCTTGGGTCGCTATTGGAGTGCTCTTGTGCGCTGTGGTGGTCGTCTTGAATTCCTCTTGGCTCCTCTTGGGCTCCTCTTGGAGCTCTTTTGGGCAATCTTGGAGCACTCTTCTTGAGGCCCCATGGACCCATGTGTTTGAATATGCAGACCCACGGATGTTTTGGCTCAGGATGAGATCTTGGCCGCTGATGAGGCAATTGCCGTGCATGGTAGCGTAGAGCGTTGGTGAGCTCAGGCTTCCGTCGCCGGGCAGCATCGGCTCATAACATGTCGGCCAAGGAGCCGAACGACACTGGAGAGTGGCTGGCTGCGGAGAGTGTCATAGCGACAACATCGCAGAGCGGATCTCGTTTGGAAGACAATAGGATGGACCCGGAGTATCCTGGATTATTTCGTTCAGGATTTCGAAGTCAATTTCGTGCTTATTTTCTTGGTCAAGAATGAAGAGTGAAACATTCACGTGCAATTCATTTGGTTTTCGCACGCCGTTTTGGGGTTATTCATTGACAGGAATCAAGTCAAACATCCGCCGCAGCACGTCTGCGCGGTCGGTGCAGCGAAGAGTGTCCCCGAGGCTGATCGAAACGGCGAGCTGGTCCAGTTTCGACGCGAGTTCTATCGCAGGTCTCCCAGGGTTGATGTTCAGCCGTCGGCAGTGGGCGTCCCTCGGGCATCGCCTTCGAGAGATCACTCTCCGAGTGCTGGCGAGCCTGCGTATCCGACAGGCCAGCGTCGATAACAGCGTCGCTAGACAAACTTTACGTCGGGCATGTCCCCCTACATGGGGGAATGTTCAACAATAGTATAACATAGTTTGGGGGCGATGTTTCGACCGACTGTGTTTGGCAATGCTTTTGGGCATTCTTCGAGCATTTTGAATTCGAGCACCAGGTTAAAACGGACTAGTGGCCGGTTGCAAGCTGATCTGGTTGGAGTCGAGGCGTGGGGCGGTTTCTCGTGGCCTTTCGGAGACGACCTCGCCGCCGCGTATGGACCGGGTCGGGCGACAGGGCTGGGATTGGATGGGGTGGGGCGAAATCAGATGCATGCCAGCGGGCGCCTTCTTTGATATCTTGGTGCCCTCGGCGCCCCACATCCGATGATGCAGCAAGAGATAGGTTGCAAGCATGTTGGGGGGAGTTGCTCAGCATGGCGAGAGCGTCGTGGCGCGGAGCTCCTCGTGCTAGGGAAGTCAGTGTAATTCGACGAATAACAGTGACGCGATTGGTCACTGGTGTTCAGGGCGCATGCAATCGCGGTTCAGTGCCAGAAGACAGAAGGAGATGGAGGTCGCAGCCGCGTTAATCGAGGCCCCGCAGCTGAACGTGGTTCTCGAGAGCAATGGCGCGGTTGTGAGGTCACACAACTTGCGCTACTGATTGACGCAGACCTGCCGTGGGCAAGAGCTCGATGTCGTCGCGA